TCTCTCTTCTCTCTCTTCTCTCTCTTCTCTCTCTTCTCTCTCTTCTCTCTCTTCTCTCTCTTCTCCCATTACACACACACTTACACTAACACACATGTCGGGAGACCGGTCGTACGCTTAGAGCGTGTTCCGGCTCCGTTGTTGGGAGATACCTGGTTTGGGAAACCCCGCTTGCTGACAGTAGGTCGACGCCGAATCACGCCATCTAGCGGGGGATATTACCGCCGCCGAGTAAAACACGTGCACTACATTTACGGGACCAATAATCTCCGTAGTTGACGACCCCGAAATCACTAATAACCTACCCACCAACGATTAAGGGCAACAACACGGCAGCAGCATATAATCAAAATGACTTCTGAGCGTTCTGATCTTAACGTCAGTGAAATGTTCTTTCCACCACTGCCACTGCGCTAGTCAAATAGTATCAAAGTTAAATGTCGATACAATTCATTTTAAATAATATTCGACGTTAAAAAAATACTACTAATAATAGAAATTTAAACTGGCAAGGATAATATAGTACTAAATGCAATTTTAATGTTCACAATCGATCGAAACATTTACTAGAACGATTATCAATGATTGATTTAGTGTCAGTACTTGTTTTGTAAACGTCTCTGTGATTGACCAAGATCCTGTATCATAATATTAATATAGAATAATGAAATCTGTATCGTAATGAGTATGGTTGTGCAACGAGTTACAGCCATCAAATAAGAGAACTGTACAATGGGAGAAGAAAAATGTTCTTGCTGTGTTAGAAAAGGAAGGAAAGATCGCTCACGATCTGAGGACCGTTTATGAGGGTTCCGCACCGACATTCCCCTGCTACAGATCGGATGAACCCTGAAAACTACCGATTAGAGAAGTCTGACGCCTGAATTCTCCTCCGTACAGTAGCTGAAGTCCACCTTGCTATCCAGCTAGTGTCAAAATCCTGCCAATGTCGGGACTAGAAACCCAGGATCTTCCGGTCAGAGGCACTGCAATGATATCAGTTGGTGCCGAGCGTGAGACCAATAAAAAAATTGTATATCTCAATAGGTCTTTTAAGTTTTCCTAAGTGCGTTTGCCATTTACTTCCTGCCATTGTTTACTGTTAAGACTGCGTGAATGTCGTTACAGCGTCTTTAAATATAATTTTATGAATGATTCAGGACATTGAAGACTCCTGTTTAAAATATTATCATACGTGACCAATCAAAATATGTGACCCGTTAGATTAATAGTTACGTACTTAAACTTTCTCGCTTTCTTTTTCATATTGGATACATATGGAATAATGTCATTATAGAGTAAATAGACGTAATTTCTTTGAGAATTTTTATTTAAGAGTAAAGCATCTTGTACTCTCTTTTACCATCAATTACTATTAACTACAACCTATATTTTTTACAAAGTTAATGATGAATAATTTTATTGACAAGTAAAATGTGATAATAAAAAATTCCACATAAAATCGCGCTATGGTAGGCGCAGTTAACTGTATGAGAACTGGGATTGTCCCTTTCATAGTCAATGCTAACTGTAATGTGTTTACAATCCATGGGTATGTCTTCAGGTACAGCGAACTGTACATTGTAGTTTGAAAGGGGATTACTGAAAACTTCATTGCCACTTGTCTCTTCTATTCATACGAAGTCCATTTATTCTCTGTGCCTTCTACTTGATTTTACGGGGAGAGCAATTTACCACCAAACGAAATTACAAAATTCGAAGATCCAACTATACCATTCACCTTTACATTTCGATGACCAATCACTCGCAGAGCCCCGCACAATATTTACGGTATGAGGCTGGTTAGGTTTGAACTCTCCAGCAAAGACGCGTTGCCCGTTGTTATCAATGGCCCATATCTCTTCAGGATAACCTTGAGAAATTGATTTCACAGACGTTACGAATTTAAGGTGTGTGCTGTCATGTTCTACAACATGGTGATTGTCGCTAAAACATAAGAAATGGCGTGTATTACAAACTGATCAACCTGTTGGCATGTAATCATACATTTTATAATCAGTAAAATAATAGTAGTTTATGAGACTAGTTTATTATGTTATGCTTAGGGGTCGTCCATAAATTAAGTAATGCTAAAGAAGGGGGTTGAGGCGGCGTTACGCTGCGTTACATAGGGTTGGGGGGTATTAGCTTCGTGTTGGGCAACGTTGATATATTTTCAATATTTGCGGAAATAATTCCTTTTATTCAGTCACATATTAAACATTAAGATATTAAAAAATAAAATATAAATAAATTAAACTATTATGTAATTGATACAATAAATATAACTATATTTTTATCAACGATATATTAATTGAATCTTTTAGATTATAAAATGTGAAATTCACCACATAATGTGTTCAATTGAATCGTTTCGAAAGAATGCAAATCTTTGAATGTCGTGTTTGTGATCAAGACACACCAGGGGCTGCTCACCAGTGTAGTCACCTGTACAACGCACCTTAGGTTGTGTTTGTGGGCAAAACTCAAATCATTGTCATTCACTCTGCCAATATTGTGGAGAATATCAGCAAACCATTTTAATATCTGCATACTATTGCACGAACATGCGTATTCCACTTTTAACTTGTTCTTACCTTTTATGAAACACGCTCATAAAATTTTGTAGTAATATAACCGGAGTGACAATGTGGAAATTAGTATAGGATTTTGTTAATTGCAAATACTTAATATGTTTATATCTATTGAACCTTGCGTGATAGAATCGTTTTATAATGATTTTCAAAATTAGCGTGATTGTTTCCTTTGAAATCGCCTAGTTCCATCCTGGAGGTATGAAAAGTATTGCTCTGGTTCCCTATAGTAATATACGGACGGCCCTTTTGTTTATCATGTATGAGTGCATGTTTTGAAAACGAGCGACTTTAGGTGGGATTAGGAATGCAATAAATCAACATTATATCCGACTTACATTCGTTACCTTTTGTATAACAGCATTATAAATTTATAATAGAATCAAATTTGATTTTTGGAAACAAATTTATTGCGACTTATTTGACATCTGTGCGAGAAAACGGTGGTCGGCTGTCCCGTTTACGCCTACCGGATCACAATTCTCTCGCTGCGGTTGGCAGAATGTGAGATGAAGCAAATATTCGTTTCATAAATGCAAATACGACATAATCTGTGACATAAGATGCCCTTTTATGACCGATTTCTTGCAACGAAAAGGTCTTTATAATGCTGAAATACAAAAAACTATACTCTACATGAAAGGCATAAACAACATCAGCCAAAGGAAGTCTCCCCTTTTTTGGAAATGTTAACATCTCTATTTGGTCGAAGTATGGCTGAACTTAACACTGTGCTAAGGCTTTCATATACTAGTGAGTCATTTTATATGCAAAAACTCCATCGTATAATATTAGCATTAAATTTACTGTTTACCGTTTTCGCCTCAGAAGCGTGAACTATTTACTTAATTTTCCTATTTTCGCATTTTGAAGATCCGACACTGTGGTACACTCGAGAGGTCATAGCATCATTTCCAAACTGCAAGTGCACTGCAATTCGGAATGCCGTCTGGCGGGACAAGGTCCTGACGGCCTAATATAGGGAGCTACCTCCGGGCAGCGCTTGATATAGGATTGTCGTAATGTGACCAATTAATTAGTCAATTCATTAATTATTCCAAACATTTTACCACAATCAATAATTTTTTTTATTTTATGTCGTTTGTGTTCAAAAACATAGATTTTTTGTCATCAACACGTAGAAATATTATTGTGATTCGCTTAAGATTGCAAATTAGGTACAATTTACGATTGCCCTCTCTCACTCGCGGCCGTACAGTTGCGCCCGGTTTTAGGTGGTCACAACCTTAGCCCAAGCCTTGTCAAAATGACGGTGCACTCGTTGTTCACAAAAGAAACAAATGGCCTCCCGAGACTACATTTGCACTTCTAGGTTTGTTCTTTTTAGAGGATAAATACTGATCCAAATTCACTATTCCTATACTTCGTTAAGATTTAGAAACGCAATGTTTTGGTTAAATTTCATAATACTTCGTTATAAAAAGTATGCATCGCAGCTTACAGGTAGGTTGAGCTCATAGTTATGGTGAATACATTGTCTGCAAAATAATATTTTGCCGCAATCTCCCTGAGTCGAATTTGACCTATTATCCGTTCACCTTAAGAACAAACATGATGTAAACAAACTGAAGAAATCTTTACGCCACACTACGCTTCTGACTGGGCCCCTTCTAGCGCCCTACACTCGATGACGCGAGTAGCATACGCCGCCAATTCAAATGGAATAAGAGCTGTCATGCAACTACTTATCTTACAATCAATGCTTTAGAAAGTGGTTGACAATTATTTGTATAAATTGCTTGGCCTAAAATTCGGAAGTACTTGACCACAATTCACAAGGTGCAACAATTTCACTAGCGTTAGTGTTTCCTTTTTGCATAATTACCCGTTTGATTCAAGGAATGCACTTTCAATCGAAAAGCACTGACTACAAAGTCTTCGTATGCTTCAATCACAGTTTTCTTCCCCTTTCTATTCTTCTCTAAAGTTTGCGGTTTTCCCTTGCCAGTGAACTCTCTTCGGAGGGGGATATGCTAGATCCGGATATTTCAGTGAACACTGCGATTTGCTTCACTGGTTACAACAGATTCTTAAGCAATAACAAATTGAAAACGTTCATAACGATGCGATATTCGCTATTCAGAAGACATTTTCCACACTTGTATTTAATTAACGAAGGGCCCGCCTCCCTCTGAGACAATCTAAAACGAACTGAAGAGCAGAGCCTCGCTGGCCAATCAGCGTCGCGGTTCCGTGATCCCACGAGCCGCGTCCCACTCGCCTGACCTACGACGATCAGCACTTTCGAGGGCTGAACTGTCACAGGCTCGCAATCTTTTCTCAATGCAACACGCAGTCAGTTCTCAATGGTCTCTTTTCTTGAAACCGTTGCGGTAGTTTTGACGCAAGGTAAATCTGACGAACGATTGCAGATGAATTAGTTCTTAAACAGAGAACTATTTACTCTAGCTTCAGGATTCCTACAACAGCAGAGTTCACACTTCACACGAATGAGAATCATCCTAGCACACGTGAATTTGTTTGCGTCGGGTATTTTCTTAGGATAAATGGATAATGGCAATATTTTTCACTCAGCGAGGGACAACGGGAAGCGGCAGCATGGTCGTAAAACACATTTCCAGGAAATATTGTCTTGTGTCTTAGAACAAAATGCACATGTATGAACTCGTCTCTACATGTCCCGTTTTTGAGGGGTAAATAAATCTATACGGTTTCATTTTAAAAAATTGAAGATGTGTTGATATCTCCACTAACCTCGTATATTCAGTAGATGTATCCCAACAGTACATGGATTCCGTTGCCATTTGGTGAAAAAACATCACAGAGTTCATTGCCAGCGCTTCCCCAGCACTCTGAAAATTTAATTTTCTTAACTCATGACGAATTCTTAATTAATGTACATAAAATGCGAAAATGATGGAATATACACCTATCTCAGAATAAATGTTACAAATTTTCAGAGGGTGTAGAGAGGTCGTAAATGATCACTTTCGTCAAAGAACATTTAGTGGGCAATTTCGTACAACGGAGTGTGCGCAAGAGTTGGCAGGTACATGAAAACTTCTTGATTGTTTGAAAACGTGATCTGCCAAACATCTGTGCAAATGGTTTATCCTAAGAATGAGAGTCTATAATGAAGTGATTATTTTTGAACTCCGGAACACGCCCTAGAAGTTTGTAACATTTATTCTGGGTATTCACTTATTCTGTCTTTAGCGAATTACCTGTGATTGTCGCCTTCCAATGTAACTGAATTCCTCGGCGGCGCTGTTGTTTCCGTCGGCGAAAAGTGCTTCCTCCTGAAGCACAGTCTTGAGCACTCTGCCCTCTTGGAAGCTGGAGAACGAGTGGTAGTACAAGTAGTCATCCCTGTCGTTCAGGGCCAAGCCCAACACGCCGTCTTGCAACATCAAAGTCGAACCATTGACCTCGATGCGCTCTGCATTGGACTCTGGAAGGAAGGTCTCGCTCTCTATCCTCCAAGACCTGAGAACATCCACAAAGTTAATATCCTAGAGGTTCTACTGACCACTCTGAAAATTTTACTTTCGTAACTCATGACCATTTAATGTACATTAATGTACATTAATTGGTAAACATTAATGTACACAAAATGCGATAGTAGCTGAATGTATAGAGATAATTCATGGTATGTTACCTACGTTGCTATGATTACCTTACAAGGATATTGAAACAATCATGTTTGATTTGTTTTAAAGAAAGATGAGAAGATACTTTTTTTGTAGAATTGTAAACGTTTGGAAGAAGTGTGTAGATGGTAACAAGTGTTGTGAAATGAGGGGAAATTTGGATAAATACTGTTTGAAAATATCGTTGAGGAATTGAGATGCTATTCTATACTGGCTTGATGGCATAAATGGAAGTGAGCAGCGCTTGGACAGATTGGAAAAAGAGAGTATAATTTTGAGGGCACGTTTAGTCTTTAATATAAGGGATTTGGAGATCGCGATTTTTTTGCTGTTAAAAAATCAAGAGAGCACGTTAAGTAAATATAACATGAGATTTAGCGAAAGCCAATTATAGTTATTCACGATATTAGTGCCGTTAAGCATCTGATTGCAACACGAGTTTGGTAACCAATTGAGTATTGTAATCAGATGTTACGACACGAATATCGTACGATTTATCCACTTTGTAAAAATTTGTTATATTTAATGTGAAATCTGGTTCTTCACCTTCAATTAGTATCCACAATTTTTCTCCAATACGTAGCGACACTGTTCTCAAAAAGGACAACAATTGAAACATACTTGTATACTTCTTGACATAAGTGAATATAGTTATGATTTGGAAACAGAAATAGCAGACACTGCTGCGTTAGAGACATTTCAAAACGAAAAAATGTTTGACTGCTTACTTTTCCGGTAAATTAAAGGACAAACAAAACAAGAAGTGTTTGGTCCCAGTACTCCATTAAAAGAGTACAATACCACTTAATAACATTAATATCAAATGTACATGTAAGCTTCCGCGGCTCTAGCCCATGTCTTCTTGGCTGTCCGGATATGTGTGTGTGTGTGTGTGTGTATGGGTGTATATATGTGCCATAGATGTATACAGGTCTGTGTATGTTTATATATTGAGTGTATATGCTCAAAAGAAGTGTATTGTAAATTGTTTTTATATGGTAAATTGTTTTTGTATTATAAATGTTCATATATTGTAAAACTGTAGGGTTGTGGCTACCACCTGGCAATCAGCCAATTGTAGCCAAATAAATATTATTATTATTAAGCCGCGCCGTTGGCTCAGAGGCCGACGTTTCACCTGTCATGTCGCAGGCTTCCTGAAGACACGGATATCGCGTTGATGCGCGTCCGGTATTGTATACCAGACTGACAAGAAAACATACCAGACCGCCAAGATATCAATAAGTTTACTCAGTTATGAGCGTTTTTACAGGGAAAAGTGTAAGATACAAGACAAAGAATTCCAAAATATTTTTAAAGGAAAAGTGGCAAAGTACGCCATTACTTTATCGCACTAGTGTGATAATGAAGTATATTAACACACTAGAGCGGTTAAGTGCTTCTTTAAGAAACGAATTATAATAGCATAATGTTTCACTTTACCTAACCAAAGTGGATAAAATAATATACAGATGAAAATGTATTGCTACCAAATAATTAAAATGCGTAATAGATACATAGGAAACAAATGTTCTGAGTCAAGTAAACAGACCCTCGGATTCTTTATACATTTTACAAAATGGATTGGGAAGTATATTAGATTAGCAACTGCTGTAATCACCGCTCGCACTTGTTGCGTTAACTATTTTTGAACACGCGTTTTTACATATTTTTGAAACATCTTCTGTGAACGCTTGGTAGTGTTTTGCTGACTATTATATATGATCAAAAAATTAGCTGTTTGACACACTGAAACCTAGGATGTAAAATAGTTTCGCGCACGGGCTGTTAAAAAAATGTTAAGTACGATTTGGAAATTCTGCATTCAGGAGAAGAAATGAGATTCGGTCTACGGTACCTAAGAATTACGAAACGTGTGTTCCTACAGACGTTCCAGATGTAATATTTGCAGAACTAAAACACTTTCTCTATATACAGTGAGCACACTCACCTCTTAGAGCGGAGGCTGAAGACGTACATTGCGAAGGCGCCTGTGTCCGCGATGTACGCGAAGGCATCGTCGCTGCAGAAACCGCCCTTTTGCTCAGCAATCACGTTCAGCATGAAAGTGGTCTCGTTGTCTTTCGCAGGCACATTGAAACGGTGGCGGGCGATGAGCTTGTCCGTTCTGAGATCGAAAACTAAAAGTTGCGGGGGGCACTTGTGCTGGAAAGTGTTGCCGATGTCAACCACGCCGCAGTCGATCACCCACAGACGTCTGCATTTATCTATCTGCGAAAACGTTAGGTACTCATTAGTATTTTGAAAAGGCAAACACATGGTTCTGAAATATTTAATTGGATTAAGAAATCTTAAAAATGCACGTTTCACTAATAATAACATATAAATATATATTTGATAACCTACTTTTGAAAGAACAATTTATTACATTATTCATTGCAGATGTACAAAGTCAAAATCGGTTATAGTGAACCTCTTGAGCAGGCGTCTCGAGCTCAATTACGCGGTCAAGGTAACAGGCGTACTAGAGTTCGCGCCCTGAAAAATCGGCTCGAGATGTAAAAGTAAGGATTGTACAAATTGCTCAGGAGTATCGGTACGTTATTGGATACCTAGCCCAGGACTGTCTTTGGGTGAAGTTATTTGACAGTTCACACAAATTTACCTTTATTAATTCTCATTTTCTCTTTAAGACAAAGAAATTATCCATTAAGATGTAATAATACATCAAACCGATTTCAAATTCTGAATTGAGAGTAAAATTTAAAAAAATGAATTGAAAGTATCTTGATTTTGTAATCCTGTTCACTTTAGAGTGGTATAAAAATATAAACTTTCCACGTTCAGATTTGAATACACAGAAATATTCTTGTCTGTTAAAAGCGCTTTCCATTCATAAGCGAGAATTGTTAACTTATAGACTTGTTAATGTATTTCACATTATTGGTAAATACAATATCTAACTGAAGTAAATAATAACACCACACAAAACGAAAACAAGGAGAAAATTTGCTATTCAAACATATTCCTGTCACTAAGTAAAGATGTTTATGTAAGGGGCAATTTAATTGAAAAAAACATGACGTTGTAATAAGTAGTGAAGAATATAAACATAATACAACTTGTATTTTATAAAAAAATCTGGCAAACATGTTTTCGTATGAAGCCACTATTCGCCGCCTCGCGCCGCTTCAGCTTGCGTATGTACACCCCTCTCTGAATTTTATGGGGGAAATGAGTGCGGAGTCAGGGGAAGTTGTTCGTGCCCGTAGGAGCGCCGGCTCCCTCCCCAGGCGGGCAAGTAGCTCGTGTGGGCACAGTTCGTCCGTTGCTGCCATTTTTGGTTGACTTTACGATAACGTGAAATCAAACATCTTGGTGATTGATATTTAGAAGTTCAGATAACAGAAGTTCAAAAAAATATACAACCTCGGTGAATTCGAAAATTCAATGTATTCATTTAGGCTTAAAAATGTTTATTAATATTTCCTGTGTTCAGTTTTAAAAATATCTTTACATCTTTCTCCAGAATCTGTGCTTTCTTGGCACTTGAATCTACAGGAATCACATGCATAATATTTTAGTGAAGTCTTGCAAAGTCTCCTGCAATGATTCTTCCGCTGTTGAAACACTTCCTTCATTTGGATACTTTTTGCTATCACACTCTTTGCCCGTTCTGCATCATCCTTTCACGTAATTTGCGTTGGCTTACTCTTTAGGCATTTCATTGGTTTTCATTCCGGAGTTCGCGACAATTGCGTTTTTGAATTTGACATAAATGAGCTGAAAAAATCACTCAGTCTCTGTCATTTGCCGTTAATCAACATAAAAATTAATTTTTTCTTGAAATTTTTCTTTCCTGTTATCACTATAGCCAACGTTGAGAGTTCACTCAAACCTCATTTAGTTTCAATTGTAATATATGGGGTTATTTCGTATAATTAGTTACTATTACTAAACTAAGTATAATAGAATTGTTTATTACATTATAACTGAGTATGTTTTAGTTCAAGAAATACCAGTTCTGTAATCCAAGACTTCACTGCGTTTAATGATTCTCCAAAAACATTGTTAGGTCAGGGAGTCTAGAATGGCATAAATCCTTATTACTGACTTGCTTCTGTGTTTGCAAAAGTTAATACAGACTTGTTGCTTCAATTATGGATTATCAAAATATCTAATAAAATAACTGAATAAATTAACCTATTATTTTTACTTTAATATAGTCTACTATTTCAGAGGTTGATGTCGTTGTGTGCATATCTCTCATTTATTTTTTAAATGCATTGAAAATACAAATAAATATTTAGTTTGTATTTATATAAGCATTACATTCGAAATAATATAAATCCACGTGAAACTTTCCGCATTTTATAATCCATTATTTTCACACCAACAATTGCTTTATTCTACGACATCTCGTCAGTCTGCCACGAACTATGAATTTCAGCAGTTTCGATCAGTCAGTGTGTGTGAATTACCATGATCATATGGCGAAGCGTTTCTTAACAAAAATACTTTTATCTGTGTTCTTAAATTGCATGGATTATCAAATAGTCGACTCAATTTTAGATATATTTTGCGATTTTACTAATTTCTGACCACATCTGCTGCGAGGTGGGGGTTCTCAGAAGAGATAAACATCTAACGGATGGTTCAAAAAATTATTATATAGATTAAAATATTATAGAATGTGACTCGAATAACGTGACCAATTCTATACACATTACACGCAATTCTACACATTTTCCCTACAGGCTACCCGCATGTTACCTACATAGCTTTCGCTTGTTCCCCCATGCTCAACACACTCCGTATATTCCTCTGCAAGTTTTTCCGCATGTTTCCTCTCATGCTCTTCACAAGTTCCCTCTCATGTTCTCCCACAATTCCGCCATGTGTTGTGCAAATTTTTCACCGCATGTTTCCCTACGTTTAATTGGAAGTTAAGCTAGAATAAACTATAAATTCAAACATTTATTTTCAATAGTTTTTTGTAATTTATTATTTCGTAAACCTAAAGAAATAGCGAATGAAACCTAACTGAGATGAACCCGATAAACATAATAGAAAGGCCAAGGATATTTCTACTTCAGCAAAAAATCACAATAGCCAATCAATCGCATATTTTAAAATATTGTTTTCAAAGTGAAATATAGCATTTGACTGAAACAAACTTTGAACGTATCTGCCAACTCTTGCAACGGATTTGATTGGTTGATATTATCAAGTTTCCGGACGCGTCAACTACTAAGATCATTATTCCCGTAAGTGAATTTCATGTTTTTATCGCGGGAGGTGGAAGTGATCTTCTCCCGCTGGATGGTGAGATTCGGCGTGACCTGACGGACCTCGGGATTTTCCCTAGCCTGGCATCTCCCACCAACGGGACAAGTTCTAAGTTCCCTACTGGCCTTCCCACGTGTGTGGCAGTGCAATGTACTTACGTAAATGCGGAAGACCGACGTCATTCCGTCGCAGCCCTTCTGGCCATCGTGCCAGCTCCAGTCGGGGTAGGGCGCCAGCTGTGGGGAGTCGCGCTGGTGCTTGTCCTTGACGGTGGCGAGCGACACTAGCGCTCCTGGCAGGATGGAGGGGAACGAGAGGAAGCAGCGACCCGTCGCTCCTTCGCACGAAAAGAAAGCAAGGTGCAATTTATTATTTATTTACAATAAATCATCAAAAAGGATTTCTTGTTTTCGCAAAGGTCCCACAACTGTATCCATAACGTTTGGGAGACTTTATACGAGGCACTCCTAAAAAGTTTCTTTCCAGAATTCGTCATCGAAAAGCAAACACAATTTCCTGGAAAATATTTATTGCATCATATACAGCAATGTTATCTTATTATTTTACATAATTACCACCAGAATTGAGTCATTTGTCTTGGCGTACCAATGTGTGACAGCCACCTGCAATTGCGTCACTGATACGCATAGTGCTGATCGGACAGTAATTTTTTTCTAGAGCTTTTATCCAGTCGACAACCGGTTAACCGTATGCCGATGGGACGCATATTCGACCATTCACTACACCCAATACACTTGCGAGCTCTTCTGACCTGGGGACAGCAGAATGCGAGGCCCTCCGCGACAATACAAACATGAGACTCTAGGGACAAACAACCGTGCCCAAGGCGGGACTCGAACTCGCGATCGAGCGCTAAGTCGGTACACGCTCTTAGCCACTTCGGCTATCCAGGGCGGCCCAGAAATTTCTTGAGGTGTGGAAATCGCCTCCGAATTCCGAACCATAGTGCGAATGGTCCAAGTCAAACACCTCCTAGCGGAACTGCTGCTGAAGAACTGTTGTAAGTCGAGCGGTGCGAGATCGCGCGGGAATGTGCTGAGTAACACTTGCAAATCCTGCGTCGCGTACTCTCAAGAAATCTCAGTCTGGCCAGTATGTCGCCCATCACAGGGACGCAGTTGCAGGTGGCTATCACACATTAGTACCTATCCCAGGTGGTAGACGTCTACGTTCTACTTCTACACAAACGTTGATCGTGCAAATGACCCAATTCTGCAATGTTTGTGCAAATATCCCAATGCTGTTGCCAATAATGTAAAACAAAATAGGGCGACATGGTTACATCTGTTACAATAAAGATATTTCAGGAAATTGTTACGTTGTGTTGTGACCTAGGGAAAAACACTTTTAAACTTGTCTCATATACTGTACGCCGACAACTTATGAATGATTCCGAGATTCTATAAAAAATTGTTGAAGAACAGTAACTGCAAAATACGAAGCAAAATAACTTGTAACATGGCCATCATAAAACTTGTATCGTGGTCATATCGTGGCTAAGAGCGAAAGTCGCTTGCCTTTCACCAAGGAGACTCGGGCTTGATTCCCGGATAATCTCATATAAAATTTGATCCTACAGGACGAGCTTGGCTGCTTCTCAGGGGATAGTGCAACCCCTGTGATGTGTCCTACCGCTATCCTAATTCCTTCCTAATTCTGGCCGCTGGGTAGTGACACAGGAACGTGTAGTAGGAGGCGCGCACTCGGAGATGCTACCTGGCGGTCCTCTTGACCAAAGACTGTCCACACTTGCGTATAACATAACGTTAAAATCAATAGCTTGGTCGCTAATGGCCTAGTAGATGGTGAGACCTTCAATAAACAAAAATGTATCAATGTTTGTTAACATCATGTGAACAATATTTTTTTAATTTATCTAGCTAAAAGAAGATGGATGAGTTTGAGGGTGGGAGATCAGACCATTCCAATCCTAACGGCGGGAGTTGGGCCAGTAAGAAAAA